TGTCACATGTTCCAACCTTATGGCTACCCTCGGCCTTATTACAGTTCCAACCATTACCTCCAGGACCCCTATACTCCAAAGTCCAACCTTATGCCACCGAGGACTGTCGTCCCCACTTCGACAATCTCCAACATTTCCACCAACACATAGTACACGAGGGTACCGTTCATTTCATTCACAATCTCCAACAAGTGAGCCTGAAGCTCAGATTACAACTCCAATTTCATTTCACGGCCACCACGAGGACCACATCTGTACCTTGGTGATTAATGTCTCATACCATTAACCGTGCAATCAAGGTCCAGCCAATACACACGTTTTCATCACAGGAATCAATCAATGGATCACAACAAAGATATGAAACAATACTCAACAAGGAAGGATTACAATCCGACTCCAACGATGGTCAACACAAGTTGCCAACTTCAATAGGAAATAACAAACCGTACACACTAGCAATTCAACATCAAACTATCATGCTTATCAAACGGGTAAACAAAAGTAGTTCCATAGAACATACAAGACTCATCATCAATCCAACGAATCACAAAGTTGGACCACAAGCACGATTCAAGACACCAAACCTACAGGGATTCCTAACATACCGTTCTAGACATATGAAACATCAAGAAGACTCACAAATAGCCTAATAAACAACATCGGAAGGTCAAAACATCAATTATCGAGTCAAAAGAATCACGGGGAACAAATCCTCGAACAACCTCAAACATGTACCACGCGGGTGGGGCCACGGGTGGACCTCCACCCGTGGTTCCACCCGCGGGAACCAAAGCCCACAACCTGTGTACCCCGCGGGTGGGGCGGCGGGTATGCCACTGCCCGCCGTTCCGCCCGTGGGTACCAACCTGTGTCCAAAATAATCCCTTCGGGGATTTTCACCAACAAGTCCAAATTCAAGTCCAAAACACCCAAAATCTCACAAAATACAATAATATGGCTTGAATCCAAGAAATAGCCAAGCAATGGCATACAAGAATCCTAATAACATGCTCTAGGTATGCATTCTCACAAGATAATGCATCAAAACTCACATTTCATAGCAAAAATCACAAGTAGAAGTCAAGAAATCATCATATAGGTAAGAAAATAGATTTTGTAAAGCATGGGTTACCTCTTGAAGCCTAAACCTTCAATTTTCACACCCTTAAAGCTTCTCTTAAAGCTCTCCTTCAACTTCAACTTCATAAACACACCAAAAGACACAAAGATTCCATCTTTAGAAAAAGCCACCTAAAAAGATACTAAAAACACCAAGAGATCAAGGATCTTACCCTCCCCTATGCTCAAGGTTATGCCACACTTAGGTTTACTAGTCTAAGTACACAGGCTAAAACCATAAAATATCCAAAACATAGTACTAATATCAAAGGGTTTACTACATTCCATCAAACATCAAAACATAGCTAACTACACTAGGAGGCTACTCATCCAGCTAAGCACGCTCGGGAAGGATTTCTACTCTATACCTGAAAACATTTTAAATAAATTAGCGATTATGCTAAGTAACCCCGCTCCAATGTGTAAAGATACATAGATATACATTTGATACTTCAAAATAGTTTTGAGACTTTGGAATATATAAGTATATCTCTAATCAACTCTAATTCAGTAAATCACGAGGAATGGAATCAAGACCATGCCATACAAGAGATATACTCATCAATACATAATAAACCACAAGGACGTCAACTGAGAGACTAAATCAATGAGATAATGACAATGGATCAATAATAGTGAACAAGGTAAGACAATCAATCAAGCAACATGGATAGTTCTCATCAAGGTTATGCAATCAACATCAACATCAAAGTTCCAAGTCCACAATGGACACAATCAACAATCATACACCGCGGCGTCAATCTCAATGACTCGATTCCAGGGTGAATTAGTGTGGAGGGCTTAAAATCGGCAAGTAACATATCACGAGGTCAAAGACCCGATTCATAGGTTCCGCGGGGTCACGAAGACCCGATAGGGATGTCGCGGGGTCACAAAGACCCGATTATAGTTTCGCGGGGTCACAAAGACCTGTGGAGACAACCCTAAATCCTTATGTGTATACACCCCTATTGGGACCTCCAATCCCCAATAAGTAGAAATAGGTCCGACAACCCGGATAAGTTTCGACACGAAGTCCGTAAATACCATCATCCCGAATCTGTAAGAAATCTCCACACTGTCCACCATACCAGCTCAATCATCACAACAAGAGTTCAATACACAAGGAATCTTAAGAGATAAAGCAACGGAATTGATTCCACAAGAAGTGTATTCAACAACGAACAAGCTCAATCAATAGCACTATTCAGGGAATTCTTAATGATAGGATACAACAAGAGGTACAAGCTCACAACGATAGTTCAAACGGATATCCAGATAGAAATACAAGAATGGTATTCCAAAGGCAATGATTCAACATCAAAGGATTCCAACAAAGTGTCACAACAAATAGATAGGCTCATGCTAACAACTTAATCATGAATCAAGCATAGGCTATCACAAGGGGTCATACTAGCATCAAGAAACAACATGTTAATACACAAACCAATGAGTAATCATAAGGGTCCATACGAACATCAAAGATTTCATAAAAAATCCAACGTATAGCAATATTGGATTTTAACCACGATTCAAGACTCACAACCTAACCATAGGGGTCATAATACACCGTTCAAGACTTACGAAACATCAATAAATACACGCAATTACACGGGGGACAATAAAACAAGAAGCCAATAAACATCGTACCCGGGGGAGGCTCTGGCAGGTGGAAAAGGTCCCGTCGAACTCCCTTAGTGTACCAGTGGGGGGTTCTGGCGAGACCCAAACTACTCGTCGGAACTCCCTTCTGAATCAGCGTACTCGGTGGGTGCTTCCGGCGAGTGCTTTCGGCGGGTGTGCCACTACTCGCCCGAAGTACCCGCTGGTACATAAACCTGTAGAAAAATGTAGACTCGGGAAAAAATTACCAAGAATGTGCAATCCAAGTCCAAACTCAACAATACTCTCATCAACAACAAATATGACTTAAATATAAGGAATGGCACATCAAATAACATCGTACAACCTAGATACAAGCTCTAACATAAGCATAAACACAAGAATATGCTCAAAGAACACATGATCATCATGAATACACATTGTATAGTTTAAAGTAGGTTTTCATGGACATAGGGTTACCTTTCAAGCTTAGCAATCCAAAAGCAAAGCCAACTTAGTCCCAACTCAAAGGCAAATCTATGAAAAGGGGAACCTACGAACCAAATTGGACCTTTACTCATTTAATCAATGATCACTTAAAAATTACATTAAGTCATAAGGGATTCAAACCTTAACCTCTATTAAGATTAAACAACTCCTTGCCACTAGGCTAATAACTCTTTAGTTAACCATTAACCAATAATCATTCTTTAGCCATCCTATTATAATAAGAATGCATTATTAATGCTAATCATCGCCTAATCACTATCATTAGTCGATAAATGCCCAATAATCAACTCTTAATCCTTCACATTAACACCAAAATCCTTTATATTCCAGTATGAAAGCTAGAAGCTCACCTGACTCCAAACATGCTAGAGTTACCACCGGAAGGAACCCACTACCGGTGCTGTTGTCTCGCCGGAGGGGAGACATCCACGTTGTTGCCTCCAAGCTGCCACTATTAGAAGAAGCTTAGTCGCTGGAAGCTCGCCGATCACGGTCCCGTCGTCGCTGAAAATGAAGGTTGAAGATCGGAGCTGTCGAGCTTGCTTCGCCAAGAGGAAGCACAAACCACTGTTGCCCACTCCCCCTCACCGGAAAAACAGGGAAAGGAAAATGGGGAGTCTCGCCTGCTCTGTTTTGTCGGAAGCGCCGAAACTGCATCACCGGAAGTCAGCCACTGCCACCAATCTCCCAAGCTTCGTCTCCAATTGTCGCGCACTGCCGGAACCAGACACTGCAGAGGAAGGAGCTGCTCTCGCTGCACAGCCGGAGAAACCAACCGTCGTCGTAGTCTACCACCTACGCCACCGCCGCCCATCTTTCATCGCTGCTTGTCCGCTTCTCCCGGCTCTGCCGGCCAACACTGCTCGCTGACCAACTACTGCCAACAAAGGGAGGAAAGGAAAAGGAAGATGGAGGACATTCTTGGTTCCTAGCTTAGGGGAAGGGTTGGGCTGCTTGCCGCCGTTGAAGCTTCATCGATCGAGAGAGAGAGAGAGAGAGAGTGACGGGAGAGATGAAGATGCTAAATGTAGGGCTTCTAGGTTTTGGTTTGAAGATGAACATGTTAAATATATATATATATATATATATATATATATATATATATATATATATATATTTATTTATTTATTTATTTATGTATATATATATATTTATGTATATATATATATATATATATATATATATATATATATATATATGTATATATACATATATATATACATAAATAAATAAATATATATATATATGTATATATATATGTATATATATATGTATATATGTATATATATATATATATATATATATATATATATAAAAGGTTGGGCCAAGCATTTTGGGTTTAGGTTAAATTTGTTCAAGACTAGTTAGAAAATATATACATTTGGCCTTAAGAAAATGGGTAGACTTTTAGGAACAAAATCATTTTGGGTTTAAGGCATTTGGGTAGTAAAATAATCATATAATAAGTTGACCCAAACCCATTTGAAAATAATTAGGTTTATATATATTTTTAGTAAAATATTTAATAATAGATAAATAGTTACATTTGGAAAATATTTATATTTAATATAAAGTTTAGGAAAATATGGGGTGTCACACTCTTCCCCTCTTAAAAGAGCTTCGTCCTCGAAGCTAAAAATTATTTTCGGGATAAAGAGTCGAAACTAGTACGGTAGTAGATAGAGAGAAAATATTTTACGGGCGGTAAATACTCAGTTTCGAAAAGATTCGGTTCAGTAGGGAGAGGAAAATGAAGGTTTTAGGTTTTAAACTCGAGGGCAACATTGGTTAGGAATAGGATCAAGATTATCAAGGCTACAACTTAAGAAATAAGGTTGCCACCTTGCACAAAATCATTTGTAAGGAGGAATCAAGAATGGGGTTTGAAAAGATAGAAAGGATATCTTAGCAATTCCCACTCCGCCGACCTCTAATTGTCTGAACACATTCTCCTTAGACACTGAACACATTCAATGTTTCATCTCCTCTGTCGCTCTCTGCCTCTCTCATTCTCTCTGCGTACCTTTCTCGTCTCTCCGCCTCTCTCGTAGGTCGTAGCTCTCTCGACTCTCAGCGCAAACGCCTGACCTCGCCTCGCCTCAATAGTACCGAAGTCGAGAAGACACCGCCAGCGTCGCTGCCGACAGTGCCGTTGCCGCCTCGAACCTCCGCCGCCGTCGCCTCGAACCTCTCGGCAAAACAGTTCAGCACAAACGCCTCGCCTCAACAGTGCCAAAATCGAGATGACACCGCCAGCGTCGCCGCTGACAGTGCCGTCGCCGACTCGAACCTCCGCCGCCGCCTCCTCCTCATCCCTCCAGGTTAGTCCTCAATTTTTTAACCCTAATCCATAATTTCTTTATTGTATATTTGAATTTTCCATATGTGAAAGCTATGAATATTCTTGGCTATGATTTTGTCTACCCTATATTTTAGTATTTTACTAGGCTTTAGTTTGAAGTTTTTACTTATCTGATACATAATTATTTCCTTTCAAATATTTGTTCACTCCGTGCTGATGTTGAAATACTAGCCTTCTCAGTTTTTTGGGTATGTTGAGTGTTCTTTGTGTTTATGTCGAGTGTTCTTTGTGTGTGTATATGGATCTATTTTTGCTGAATAAAAATGACTGCCTACTTGTTTTCACTAGATAGATATAGGAAAAACGAAGAAACTAAAACCTGAATATAATATAGGGAAGACTAGGACTCATGAATATAATATATGTCAACTTCATATATGGTTTACACAGAGATATGCATGCTATGGAATAATGGAATGTAGATGGAAAGACATTCAAGAAGCTACGTCGTCCAACTTGTTTGTCTTGATGGTTATATGGTTCAGTTCTTGTTATGTTGAAATTCTATACTAACATGGAAAATGGCCTTCCCCTGTTCATATAATTCATACTGCATACTAGCAACTGATATCAATTTTTATTATTGGTAACTGTTACTTCTAATGTTATTCCTTTTTCTTTAATATAAAATTATTTTGCTTATCAATTGTGTAATTCTAGCTATATTTAACTCTTATTTTCATTCACTTCTAAATCTCATGTTTAATATTTCTAAATTTTTATCTTTGTTTGTGTATTTTAATCTCAGCTCATATGGTTTGGATGATGAGAAGTACAAGAATGAGCATATTCAAACAAGTACTGCAAATCTTGAGCAGGTTGTAAATAAAGTGTGAGAGTGAATTAGTTACCAGAATTCTTGTAAATCTAGCTATCTTTTACATAACAATAATATTAATGTTTTAGTTTCTTTGGCAAGCAATCCTTAATTTTCTAATGTGCGTGCCATATTATGTGAAAGATTGCCAGAGCTATATATGATGTTGAGGAGGCAACTTCTACTGCCTTTGATATCATCTTAGGGAACAAGGTAAATCAATGGAATTTCCATCTCTTATACCCCCTTTCTCACAGGATGTGTGTGTGTGTTATTTTATTTTATTTTCCTTTATTCATTATTGGTTGCCGTGAATTTTGGTCTCCTTATTGATTTAGATGATTAAATCAGAGAAAAAAACATCTTTAATAACATTCCTTCAACTTTTGGTGGCTCATCACCCCTCTAGAAGGTCAACACCCTGCATTTTCTTTTTTCCTGTTATCCTTTACTATATTGTATATTATAATGTTTTCACCTTTGGAAATGTGATTCTTGATATAAATGTCGGAAGGGTAGTAGAGAGATTCTTGTTAACTTTGATGATATATGTTCATCTGAGGCATTGCCAAGAACAAAGATGAAACTGTCAGCTGTACCAAAAAGGGTGTGCTGGGACAGTACCAGATTTGCGGGAAAGAGGTTCCCCATTGAAAATGGGTAGGTGTAAATTTTGATTTTTATTTAACAGTAGTTGATGGCACATGAAGCAAAATGAATCTAAGTTCATGCTATAGTTTGCTTTATTGTGCATAAGTAATGGTCTCATCACTAGATGTATATCCACAGCAGTTGCTCACTGGTAGGCTTCTAATGGATGATTCGGTGGTACTTCTTATCCTATTCCTTTATCACCTCCTCTTAACAATCCCTCCCCATCCAAGGATGTGAGCAAAAAAAGAGAAGGTTTTTTTTTTCTTTGGTTGCCTGAAAGAAATATCTTCAAATCTTCAATGACTAAGTGACTATCTACATGCATGCTTCTTTAAAAGGATGAGATGTACCACATTTAGTTTTCTTGTTTAGAGGTTGCTATTTGCTGAGGAGTTTCTGATGCTAGTACTCTAAGAGTGACTTATATTTTTTCAGATGTTTTGTCATGGAAGTACGAATGACACTAGAGGTTTCAGGTAACATGACATTCAAATAGTCTGTTTTAGAAATTTATGTGTTTTAAGTTGTTTGTACTCACCAAGTTGGATATGCACACTGTAGTTAAAGAACCATTAAGCCATATAATTCCTTGGAAACATCCTTAGTTGTATAGTTAGCCTATTCTTTGATGCATACGTGTACCTAAGTACTATGAATGGTAATGTCAACTTGAAAATTTCAAATGATTTTTAGCAAAACATATTTTTATCCCGGTTGAAAAATTGAAATGATTGAGCTTGTTAAGCAATTATTCTTTGCATAGTGGAGCCTATCCTTTCCCTGTCTAAGTAGCTTGTTTTCCTCCTATACTATTCTCTTTGTTGTCTTTCAGAACTGCCTTAAAACAAAAATTATTAGGCAAGTGGTCAACTAAGAGTCTATGACTACAGGATTAAAAATGTAAAATGGTGCACTGTTGGATTACAATGGTACTGGTTGTGGGATCTTTGTTTTTGTAGCATTTTCAGGCAATTTACCATGGGGTTTCTAAAATCTGAATGTTTTTCCCCTTTTTCTTTTTAATTACTTAAATGCGGGTTATCATTTTTACTATATGAACAATGAAGGATATTTTAAAGTGAGCTAATATCTATAGAAATTTATGTTTTGTATTATTAATTTATATTAATTGTGAGATTATATATTAGATTGTATAGGTTTTGGATGTGGTTGTGATAACATATTTGACAGGATATTCTTAGTTGCATACTTTTCCCACTTTTTTGTTTCTTTGTATCAATTCTATAGCATCGATCAATGGTTCACTTTTATTCTTGTGTAGTGTATAAATACCTCCTCTGTTCGCATTTCATTGCAAATTTATTATATCTATACTAATTTATTTACTCCCTTTTTACATGTAGTTCCAACAAGTTGATTATGACAAAGCGGTTATTGATCTAGTGCGTTCAGAATGGGCCGACATTCTATCAAGTTATATAGAGTAGGTATGATTTGACGTTGTAATCATTTAGACTTGGCTCGTAGAATTGTTTTTTGTAATATTATGACTTGGATGATGATTCGATTAGAATTGGTAATGAAAGTATTTTGACTTATTATTTTGAACCTTGCTTAGCTTCCACAAAAATTTTGTAACTACACTTGGTCATGGTGAATGGATAAATTGATTTTTTTATATGATTAAAATTTAAGCAGATTAAAAATGGGTTGAGACAACAGTTAAAAATCGTTGTCTATTTTACAATAGACAACAGTTTGAATCAAACTGTTGTCTTTTCTACAAAAGACAACAGTTTATGGGCGTGACTTTTAACAACAGTGATTTCAACAACACACAATAGATAACCGTTTATAACTGTTGTCTCTTAAAGAAAAGACAACAGTTAAAAATCGTTGTCTATGTGCATCACTTTTAACAACACCGGTTTCAACAACATTGAATAGACAACGGGTCAAAAACTATTGTCTTTTCTAGAAAAGACAATGGTTAAAAATCGTTGTCTATGTTCGTGACTTTTAACAACACCGATTTCAACAACACTTAATAGACAACGGTTAAAATACCGTTGTCGTTTATAGAAAAGACAACGGTTAAAAACCGTTGTCTACATGCGTGACTTTTAACAACACCGGTTTCAACAACACTTAATAGACAACGGTTAAAAAACCGTTGTCGTTTCTAGAAAAGACAACGGTTATTAACCGTTGTCTATGTGCGTGACTTACAACAACACCAGCTTCAACAACACTTAATAGACAACGGTTAAAAAACCGTTGTTGTTTCTAGAAAAGACAACGGTTATTAACCGTTGTCTATGTGCGTGACTTACAACAACACCGGCTTCAACAACACTTAATAGACAACGGTTAAAAAACCGTTGTTGTTTCTAGAAAAGACAACGGTTAAAAAACCATTGTCTATGCGCGGGACTTACAACAACACCGGCTTCAACAACAGAAAATATACCTCTACGACAACGGTTATTAACCGTTGTCTATGTGCATTTTTCTTGTAGTGCAAGAACGGTATTCGATTTGTCATGGAAAAGGGAGGAATTCGGTTTTAAGAGGGATAAAGATTCTCAACTTCGAGCAGTTTCTTCGGCTTGACTATTTGATTATAACACTTTGACCAACTGACAATTATCTTCCTCGATTTTGATGCGATTTAAATCCAAGATTTTTATCGGACTCTCTTCATAAGTTGAAGTCTCATTCATATTTACTACTTCCGGAGGAATCTCTCACGATGAATCACAAACATACTTCTTCGGTATACTCCAATTTCCTGACCAATTTAGATAGCAAAGACAACCTTTAAGTCATTTTTCCCGATTCCTTCCCAGATCTTTCACAGACCGATAATCTTCGACTTGACTTGCTTTTCTTATCGAACTTCATCATTATCTCGGTAAATGAAACTCTTAGCAATAATTCTTGTCCTTCCGGAAATTCAACTTGTTGACCATTCCTGTTATTCCTTTAACAATTAGGACACACAACATCACTTTCATCGTTCTATAACTGCAGTTGGTTGTCTATTCTCGTCATCATATGACTTGATGGCTTTATGAATCGAACTTACTTCCTTACTGTACCTTAAAAAAATGAGGCCTTAACACTAAATCGTTATTCTTATCTTCTTTAGCATCTTGAGTTTCTGTACTCTTGATCTTACAAAACCTTGTAAGGAGTCCTTTGTATACTCGTAGGTTAACCATTACTGTAAGGAGACTCGATCCATCCTCAGTGCTCATCTTAAGACCTTTGTAAGTCCATAGCACAAGCTCCCAACTTGTCCTCTCAGTTTGAATGGTTCTTTGTATTAACCATTTATAGTTGGGTGAAATGCAGAGCTCAACTTTAACCTTGCGCTTAACACAGTTTGCAGTACTCCTCCAAAAGTGTGACGTAAGTCAACATTTCTACCACAGACAACATCTGGAGAAATTCCATGATTCTTTACTCAATGATTCACTTATGACTTTGTTAATTGTTTGGTAGATTCAAATCCCATTCACGGTTGATAACCTTGCAGTCTTCATTAGTCAACCAGCTATAACCCAACTTTGTTCTTTCTTGTCTTAGTTAACAGCAAGTCTTGCATGAAAACTTCGTTGCCGCACAATCCTACTTTACTTAAGAAAATCCAATAATAGGACCAGTCCTTAAGTTCGCTCCCATCAATCTTAACCTCTTTGATAATTCGATCTTCTAACCACAAGCTTAATTAATTCTTGCTCCATTCTTACCACAAAATTCCTTCCTTAACTTAGCCAACGGTAGGTCTCCTTCCTTAATCCGCCTTTTAGGTTGACTGCCGTCGGCTTTAGTCTTTCGACAACTCAACCAGTTGATATAACGTAGCTACTTCTTCTTTCCCTTTTATTACCAAAATTCTTCCTTTAAGTCTTTATGTTAGTTATCACTTTCAAAGAATACCGAATGGGGCGTACGGTGTCCTTCTATCACAATTCACTTCTTTATTTTCCTACACTTCATAGGATTGAACACTTGTGACATTTCCTTTCATCTTTATCCATCTCATGAGGTCAAGGCTTTTCCTTCCTACTCATCTTAGTCTTCATTAGTTCCGAGCATCACTTCTACATGTTTCTTCATTCCCTCTTCAAAGGTAGATAGAACTACCATCACACTGACTACCTCAACCTTACATTTCAACCCTTCATGCTCCAAAACTTTTCAAGGTTGACTCATAGTTAATTAAGCTTTGAAGGCTTCCATATCCGATAAAGAAAGCATAACAGAAAACAAAGGGAAAACTCACAACCTCACCGCGGATCCTAAGATTTCCACAACTTAAGTACTTAAACACTTAGAATCCTTACTTAATGTCTTAAATTCTCATCCTAAAAGCACTAACCTCGGCTCCAACCTGGCTCTGATACCAACTGTAACACCCCCCAAATCTAAACGAAATACTAAGCATTAGACTTGGCGAGAATAGGTAAATCAAGTCTAAGTCTGAGATAAACAGCAGAAGCAATAAAGTATAAGTCAGGGTGTTATGCCACACTTAGGTTTACTAGTCCAAGTACACAGGCTAAAACCATAACAAATCCAAAACATAGTACTAATATCAAAGGGTTTACTACATTCCATCAAACATCAAAACATAGCTAACTACACTAGGAGGCTACTCATCCAGCTAAGCGCGCTCGGGAGGGTTCTCAACTCCATACCTGAAAATATTTTAAATAAATTAGCGAATATGCTAAGTAACCCCACTCCAATGTGTAAAGATACATAGATATACATTTGATACTTCAAAATAGTTTTAAGACTTGGGAATACGTAAGTATATCTCTAATCAACTCTAATTCAGTAAATCACGAGGAATGGAATCAAGACCAGGACATACAAGAGATGTACTCATCAATACACAATAAACCACAAGGACGTCAACCGAGAGACTGAATCAACGGGATAATGATAATGGATCAAGAATAATGAACAAGGTAAAACAATCAATCAAGCAACATGGATAGTTCTCATCACGGTTATGCAATCAACATCAACATCAAAGTTCCAAGTCCACAATGGACACAATCAACAATCATACACCGCGGAGTCAATCTCAATTACTCGATTCCAAGGTGAATCAGTGTCGAGGGCTCAAAATCGGCAAGTAACATATCGCGGGGTCAAAGACTCGATTCATAGATTCCGCGGGGTTACGAAGACCCAATAGGGATGTCGCGGGGTCACAAAGACCCGATTATGGTTTCGCGGGGTCACAAAAACCCGTGGAGACAACCCTAAATCCTTAAGTGTATACACCCCTATTGGGACCTCCAATCCCCAATAAGTATAAATAGGTTCGACAACCCCGATAAGTTTCAACAAGAAGTCCGTAAATACCATCATCCCGAATCTTTAAGAAATCCCCACACTGTCCACCGTACCAGCTCAATCATCACAACCAGAGTTCAATACACAAGGAATCTTAAGAGATAAAGGAATAGATTCAACAAGAAGTGTATTCAACAATGAACAAGCTCAATCAATAACTCAATTCAAGGAATTCTCAATGAAGGATATAACAACAGTACATGCTCACAACGATAGTTCAAACGGATATCAAGAGAGAAATACAAGAAGGGTATTCCAAAGGCAATGATTCAACATCAAAGGATTTCAACAAAGTGTCACAACAAATAGATAGGCTCAAGTTAACAACTCAATCAAGAATCAAGCATAGGCTATCACAAGGGATCATACTAGAATCAAGAAACAACATGCTAATACACAAACCAACAAGTAATCACAAGGGTTCATACGAACATCATAGACTTCATCAATAATCCAACATATAGCAATATTGGATTTTAACCACGATTCACAACTCACAACCTAACCATTGGGTTCATAATACACCGCTCTAGACTTACAAAACATCAATAAATACACGCAATTACACGGGGGACAACAAAACAAGAACCCAACAAACATCGTACCAAAGGGAGGCTCTAGTGGGTGGAAAAGGTCCCGCCGAACTCCCTCGGCGTACCAGTGGGGGTTTTGGCGGGACCCAAACTACTCGCTGAAACTCCCTCCAGAATCAGCATACCCGGCGGGTGTGCCACTACCCGCCAGAAGTACCCGTTGGTACATAAACCTGTAGAAAAATGTGTACTCGGGAAAAAAAATACAAAGAATGTGCAATCCAAGTCCAAACTCAACAATACTCTCATCAACAACAAATATGACTTGAATAGAAGGAATGGCACATCAAATAAAATCATACAACTTAGATACAAGCTCTAAAATAAGGATAAACACAAGAATATGCTCAAAAACACATGATCATCATGAATACACATTGTATAGTTTAAAGTTGGCTTTCATGGACATAGGGTTACCTTTCAAGCTTAGCAATCCAAAAGCAAAGCCAATCTAGGCTCAACTCACAGGCCAATCTATCAACAAGGGAACCTGCAAACCAAATCGTACCTTTACTCATTTAATCTAGCTATCACTTAAAAATTACATTAAGTCATAAAGGATTTAAACCCTAGCCTCTTTTCAAATTAATTAACTCCTTACCACTCTGCTAATACCTCTTTTGTTAACTATTATCCAATAATCATTCTTTAGTCATCCTATTATAATAGAATGCATTAATAATGCAAATCATCCCCTAATCATTATCATTAGTCGATAAATGCCCAATAATCAACCCTTAATCCTCCACATTAGCACCAAAATCCTTTATATTCCAGTATGAAAGCCAGAAGCTCACCTGACTCCAAACACGCTACAGTTACCACCAGAAGGAACCCACTGCCGGTGCTGCTGTCTCGCTGGAGGGGAGACATCCATGTTGCTGCCTCTAAGCTGCCACTAACGGAAGAAGCTTCGTTGCTGGAAGCTCGCCGGTCACGATCCCGTAGGCGCAGGAAGTGAAGACTGAAGATCGGAGCTGTCGAGCTTGCTTCGCAAGGAGGAAGCACCAACCACTGTTGCCCACCCCCCTCACCAGAAAAATAGGGAAAAAAAAAAGAGGTGTCTCGCCTGCTCTGTTTTTCTGGAAGCGCCGAACTGCTCCACCGGAAGTCAGCCACTACAGCTAAGCTCCCAAGTTTCGTCTCCGACCGCCGCGCACTGCCGGAACCAGACACTGCCGAGGAAGGAGCTGCTCCCGTTGCACAGCCGGAGAAACCAGCCACTGTCATAGTCTACCACCTACGCCACTGCCGCCCATCTTTCATCGTTGCTTCTCCGCTTCACACTGCTCTGCCCGCCAACGCTGCTCGCTGACCAACTACTGCCAACGAAAGGAGGAAAGGAAAAGAAAGAAGGAGGAGGTTTTTGGTTCCAAGCTTAGGGGAAGGGTTGGGCTGCTTGCTGCCGTTGATGCTTCAGCGTGAGAGAGAGAGAGAGAGAGAGAGAGAGAGAGAGAGAGATGAAAGAGATGAAGATGCTAAATGTAGGGCTGCTAGCTTTTGGTTTGGAGATGAACATGTTAAATATTTATATACATATATATATACATATACATATACATACATATATATATATATATATATATATATATATATATATATATATATATATATATATATATATATATATATATATATATAATGTTGGGCCAAACATTTTGGGTTTGGGTTAAATTGGTTCAAGACTAGTTAGAAAATATATACATTTGGGCTTAGGAAAATGGGTAGACTTATAGGAATAAAATCATTTTGGGTTTAAGGCATTTGGGTAGTAAAATAATGGTTCATATAATAAGTTGGCCAAAGCCCATTTGAAACTAATTAGGTTTATATATATTTTTTGTAAAATATTTAATAATAGATAAATAGTTGTATTTGGAAAATATTTATATTTAATATAAAGTTTAGGAAAATACGGGGTGTCACAGCTCCTACGTACAATTGTCGCGCTCGGGCCTTCCGGGCTCTCGCAGAATCGCCACCTTCGTGACCGCCTACTATCATGTTCATCACAGAATTACGCTTCCAATTCTTATCGGCATCCTCCTCCTGAGCAGGCTGCTTTCCTTTATCCGCAGCTCTCGGGGCAACCCGAGCGGGAACCTCTTTCTGCCAATGCGAACCCTGCCGACGCCATTGATGGGGGGGGGGGGGGGGGGGGGGTTGCGGGCTGCCGCGCTTTATAAGCGTCTCAATCTCACTCCTCCGTGGTGTGAGTATTCGTGCGGTGATACGCGCAATAGCGTGCGGCGGTTGTGCCGACCACTTTCGGCTTGTCGCCCAGCCAAATGGGCGGAGGAGTAGGAAGCTCGGGGTGAACTCGTGGACACGTTGTGCCGTCGGCTGATAGGCAGGAGCTCCCAACCTGTCTGGCACCCGGCGAGCTCTCACATGAACGCTCC